ATAGGAGAGCCCTGCCTGGGCTGGGAGTGGGTTGGGAACAAGGGGTGACTTCTTCTCTGCTCAGTTCCTGATGGCTGGGAGCTGAGTGGAGGGAGCAGTATAGCAAAGACTCTTGCCTGCTCCTCAGATAGGAAGCCTGGACTCAGGAGAAGGCTGGAGGCTTTGCCCTGCTGCTTCAGTCCCCTCCTTGACCAGACCAGGAAGAGAATGTGCATGCTTTTGCGAGAGATTCTTTTTCGTAAAGGAGATTTTCCAGGTTAACATATGGAAGATCATTTTCCCAGAAGGGGCATTATTCTTCCCTAGGAGATGGCGAGTAAATGTTTGTACACTCATAGTTTCTACTGAGAGAGCAGTGGGAGGGTTTGAAAATACTTCTCACAGTGTTTTATATGAGTTTTATGAATGGATAAAAGACACAAATACTTTGGAAGTCAGTCTGATTCTTCACACACCTTTTCAGCACCCCAAACCCCTCTCCCAGTCCATTCTATTGATGGGGGGGAGGTAGCAGTATGCCACCTATGCAGTTCAAGCTATACGTAGTATTGGTTAAAACTGCATCTAGTCCTTCTATTTGTTACTGTTAGAAAGTTTCACATATTTTGTCAGTTCTCTATTCAAGTTAAAATAAGAGAATTTGCTAGTAGCAGATAAAAGACTTGTTAACAAGTTCTTATATTTTCTTACTGTTCATATATTGGAATGGCTTATGTCAAAACTGCATTAGAATTTTTAATTAAGAAAAACCTTCACTTCTCATTTTGTAGAATAATCTTATTTAATTTTTTTTGGTTTGCATGCATGTATGTGGGTGGGTGAGGATTAAAGATTGGGGGAGATTAAATATAATTTCCTTTTCTCACCATTCTTCTTTTTAAAGAACTAAATAAAATTTTTAATATACAGTCTTTTTTACAAAACTTTTTTTCTTTTCAGAATCTTGACTCCAAACAGCAATTTTGAAGATATTTGGACACTCTATAGCTTCCTAAACAGTAATGAGGTATAAACGCTCTAAGTTTCCATAATTGATTTATTTGTAAAAAGGCAATTGCAATGAGGCGATTTAGTGATGCAGCTAACTTCTTGTTCCCATTAAAGTAGAATCTTGAAGTTTTACTGGGGTGGTTGGCCATCGAGTACAAGGGGAGGAAGTAAATTTATCCCCCCTCCCCATCAGATTTTTTTTTTTTTTTGTTAAAGAAATTTCAAGCATGTGCATACTTCTGTCAACTCCAGTCTTGTAATTTCATATACTCACTGTTCCTGATGATCTCATTAATGGGTAAAAAAAAAAAAAAAATTCTTGGTGATATTTGGATGATCTGTGGTTTTAGTTTAATACTTACAAGAAGATAATAAAACTACTTAATAGGATGTGTTGCAAGTTGGAAAAATTAAAATTGAGGTTACTGTTTATATTTACTAGAATTTAGTTTGGCTTGATAGTCAATTGCAGATGAGATCTCAACTAGTTAACAAATACTATCATTATATTTAAAAAGCAATACTAGTATTAATCAAGCCACTTAGAAATCATTGTAACTTCTTGAACTTGGCATAATTAAAAGAGTTTTTGGGAACAGAAATTAGTAATCCAGCAATGCAGTCCTTCTTTAGGAATGGATATTATAGCTGTAGCTCAGGACTAGAAAATGGGAGAGTGATTTTTCCCCCCCTAACTCCCCCATAGAGACTGATTGATGGTGTGACTTCAAGTAAAATTCCTCATCGGTGCCTATTTTCCCCATTAGTAAAATTTTATCCAGCTCTTGAATTCTGTACATGCAGGTAAAAGTGTGATGGGATCTAATGCGCAATCCACAATTGTGCTTCCTGCAATGCCACACACGCATAGCAGAAAGCATGGTTGTGGGATTGTGCATTAGATCCCATCACACCATATTGCTGGTGCAGAAGGAGCCCAATCCTGGGCTCGCCCTGCACCAGTAAGAAGCAAGCTCCTGAGGCTGGGTGCATCCCATTCAGCCTTGGGGCTAGGAAATTGCGGTGGCCTCAATCTTTCAGCCATAGAGAGATGGCCGCTGCAATCCCCTGGCCCCGGGGCCTCATGCACCCCCAGGGCAACCTCAGAGACCATGGATCCCTGTGTTGCCAGAACCCAGAATGGCGGCTGCTGGAGCTGAGAGTTTGGGTATGGAGCACTCCTGTGGCCCCATCAGCTAACATATGCAAATTTTAAGCTCAGTAGCAACCAGCTGTAAAGTTAGTATACATTTTAGGTCTAACTTTATAGCTGGTTGGAACTTTTTATTGTGTAATAGGTACTTTGCACATGTAGCTGGTCTCATGGTAATTGTGCAGTTAATTGTACGATGCCTGTAACATAGCCCTTAGACATTTTAAGGTAATATATTGCATGCGTCTGTCAAGTTTTTTGCCTAGGTTACTGACTTCTAGGTTGCACTAGATTACTGTAAATTCACTATTTGTGAAGGATCTGTTTGTATCCATTTTCTTCTTAAATTGGTATATATTGAAATACCCCTTTAAGTCATTCTTGAAATATAAACCTGACTTAACCATTTTTGTTTAATACATTTTTTTCAGACTTTCTCACTGAGTCATCTTGGTTGTTATCTTCCTTGAGGCATTTTAATACATGCCTCTGAATGTATTTTCAGTACAACAGTTTAAACTATCAGTGTTGGAAAATAAAACTGCTTTAAAAGTCAGCATCAAAAGAACGCTTTCGCCAGAAATCAGAAACACTTATGCAGCTGCAAAAATAATCATGCACCTAATTTGCTTTTGTTGCAAGAGTGCTGATGGTTTCACTGTCTTCCAACATGTAGAGAGCAGTCTCCAAATCTTGATACAATACACTTATACCCTCAAACTACATAATCTGTCACTCTTTTTTCCAGTTGTCTAGCTTTGAGTGCCTGCTGGTTACGTACTTAATCATAAGGGCACATGCATATTTCATCAGTTGCATGATTTTTTTAATTGGTGATTATAAGGTTGATTAATATAAAAAGATAGTTTAAAAATACATTTTAATTGACTGATAAAACCTAACCTTATTCTCTTGAACCTTTTAATTAAAAACAAAAATACTTAATCCGTGAGTCTGTCTTTATAAACTTTGATTACAAGCTGTTTGGTTCTTGCTTTGTTTTTTCTATGGAAAGTTAGAGAATCGTGGGTGGAGGGGGAATGCCTAACTTTGAAGGATACGCTTTTATAAATATTACACAGCAGGTCAGATCATGTCACATATTAAGAGTTCAGTCCTTTAGGAGAATATATCACTGACACTGGCCATTTTCTTATGTACTAAAAACTTAAAACTATTCAACAGTAAATATAAAATTTTAAGCAGTAATGGCATACATAAATGTGTATACTTGATGTGGCTTCTAGGTAGCAAAAGTACATAACAAATTAGTGTGGTGGCTCTTTGTAATGGTAAATCTACAGGTTTCATTGGTTATATCAACCAATATAGCCAAAGTTATATTTGGTTAAGCAAAGTTGGTTAAAATCAATTCTTTTAATTGAGGCTTTCCATTAAGAAATTTAAATTGCCTGGATTAAGATGTTCATACATATTGGGTTGATTTAAGTAACTCTCTCTTCTTCACCCTCAGATAAACAGCAGCATAAAATTTACTGCTGAGGAACTCTATGACTGTGTTTCACAAGAAGTATACAGGTAAGCTGGTTATTAATTACATCTGTTGGCTTTTCTGCAACAAATTTAGACTAATTCTGTATCAACCCTAGTACTATAAGGTAAAACTTATCTTCTGTTACAGAAGTCTCCCAATATTTCCTTATTGTACAAAGGAGGTTCCTTAAGTTTGATCAAGGGAGCCTGCCTGTCTTTTGCTTCCAACTAGCCTTTCTACTTCTGAGAACCTTTTTTGTTCAGCCAAGGGGTAAACTCTGAGGTGAAAGAACCTGATTTTTGTATGTTCTTTTTTTCTAACTTAATATTGACTGCTTGCAGTTTAGCCTCTCTTCAGTTTGTTTTTCAAACAGACAAAAGGGAACTCGTGGTAACTTTTGATTATACTAGGATTTTCTGCTGTGTTTTGACTTTCACATAAGATGTTTGCTGTGGCTTGCCCTTAGCCAGTGCTGGATTCTCATCCTTCTGTTGTGGACAGAGCCAGTGAAGTTCAGCACTTATTCTGGCATAGAACAGTGGGAGCCAACTCGGACAGGTGTGCCACTCCAAATCCTTCTCCCTGTCTGACCTGCTGCCTTGCTTTCAGCTCTCTGCCCTGTGCTCCCAGTCTAAGCTGATGCTCTTTCTATTCCCTGCCTTATTTGCCACTGTGATGCCTTTCCCTTCACCAGCCTGTGCGCCACACACAGAGGGTGCCCATGTCACTTCTCGCACACATGCCTCAGGTTAGCCACTCCTAGGTTAGAATAAATGGCCATGCTTGTGTGTGCTCAGGCATCTGAGACGGTATGTAGCATTGTTTTAAAACTCTCTCTATAGTCGCATTAAGAACCATGCTTTACAATCCTTTCTTAATATAAATCCTTCAGGGTCTACATCAATGGTCTCCAACCTATTTTAAGTTGGAGATCACCTTTGGCATTTACCAAGATCTACCATGTGCTGCCACTCCTCTCCTCTTCCCCTCCCCCCGTACCCCCCCCACACGCACAGAGCAGGTAAGTATGTGGGGAGAGAAGGGGGGGCAGATCGAAGCAGAGGGAGAAAAAATTATTTGGGGTGCACCTCCCAAGCAGGTAAGTCCCACCTGGCTGGGGCTCCAGTCAACTTACCCCTGCTCCTGCCTGTGCAGCACTGTCCCTCACCACGGGGGCCTCAATTTAGCCCCCGCCACTTCCCTTCCCCACAGACTGAACTGCTGGGCTGGAGTGCATGTGTGCATGCACACAGGCACTCAGCCCCCGACCCCAACCTCGGATTCACTCCAAGATCTACCGGTGGATCGAGATCTGCTGGTTGTTGACCACTGGTCTACATGCATGCTTAAGCACATGCTGAAACAGCTGAAATAGCCATAATGCTCATAAATTGAGTCATGGTGTAGCCTATGAGACTTAAGTCACAGAAGTTGTGAACAGCAGTTTTAGAAAACCACACAAACAGGAAGGAAAAAAAGGGAACAAACTTGAATCCAAACTGAAGTAACTTCTGTATATCATTTGTGAGTGCTTGATTGTTACCACCTGCTTGATCATTTTCTAACAGACTTTTCTGGTGGATTTAGTTTCTTGATGCACAGCAACTTCAGTAGGGTAAAACATCCAGGATAGTCATCAGGAAACTACTGGATAGTGGAACTTTATCCATTTTCTGTAATGAGCTCTATGACTTTTCCCCCTCATGCCGTTTTCTGTTGCATCCTTTAAGAACATCAAAAACAGTTCAGCAGTGACCCTGATACTTCTATAACTTCAGGTTATGGAAGTTGGATATGTTATTTTGTTATTGTCTTGTTACGAGTATGAGGTTATGGAGTAGAGAAACTGAGTAAAACATAACTGTTCAATGAGACAGCTTTTAAATGCTGGTATGAAAGCCAGATCTTTTAGGCAGGCTGACAATCGCATG